CGCATTTTTACTTATTCTATATATTTATCATTGTAAGGACAACAAAAGGATTGTAATGTTTTGTAGAATATAAAACATATTTTTATTTCATCATTGACATATTATAAGATGTTTATTTATAATCATTTATTGATATTCTTGTTAAGACACCTATGTGTCTCATACACCTATACTTCTTTTTTTCAAAATTAATTCAATGTCTAGGCACCATATGATTTGTTACAATAATAAACGTTTGCCAACTATTTGAATAAATCGCTGCTTTAAACATCGATAATACGTATTACAATACGACTTTTCTAATGTAAAAGAATTTTTTCATATAACATTGATTTTTACTTACTCGATATAAACTATTTAACTTATAATATCTACTCAAATGTATGTATTATTTCGTAATGTTAATTATAATACGGATTTATTTATAGGCTCAATTAAAATAGCAAATTCGATATTTTCATTTACTCTGATTATACATATTTTATTATAGAAATTTAGAAATATTTCACGCAGACTTCCAATATTAAATAGAGACAAGTATTACGATCAAATTATGCTTATTTTTCTATTTTGTTAAACTACTTGAACATTATATTAATAAATTTGGGAACTTCTTGAACTTCTACTTCAGCTTGTAGTCGCAACAAAAATGTAGCACCGTTATTTTACATGCCTATGTTATATTTTCTAGATAATTTAATAAGAATAAAAGGGATCCCGTCATATATGATTTGGTTTTCAAAGTTAGATCGGGCACAGGTGACCGCAGTTTTGATTTGCCAACTACTCTAGAATTAAGTATATTACTGGCAGTTTACTGGACGTTATACAGGGGTCCGAGTAACAAGGAGATCCCAGGAACTATGTGTATGCGATAAGAATATATAAAAGATAACACCAGATGCTGATGCATCAATTCAACCAAAGTACAACAACGTGATTTGTTTATTCTTTCGGTAGGAATAGAGGAGCTGTATAATACCTACAACAATGATTATGTTGGCAGTGAATGAAATCAGCTATCATATAGCTGCGAAATCTAAGAAGCAAGACAGTTTAATATAAAATATGCCTGAACTTCTATTTATGACAGATGTGTTCCGCTATCTTTTTCTATATCATTTCATAAAATGTATTATTCATAACTCAACTGCATACGCTTACAATACATACATCTGCATTTTTGCCCTTTTTCATATTAATTTTATCTATTTTTAAGTGAGAAAAGATTTTATCTGATGCTGATATAATAAATGATTCATTACAATGATTTGCACAGCAATCAACATCACAATGAGATCATCATTTTTAATGTCTTACATCTATCTATATATGTATATATATATATATATATATATATATACTACACATACATA